TATATACTATATATACTATATATACTATATATACTATATATACTATATATATACTATATTTTCTTGCAATTCATAGCAGCAAAACAAACACCTATCTTTCAACCATTTTGAACGCTTTGCAACGTGAACTCGTTGTTTACCTTTGACGTCCAGCAGCACCAAGATTGCATCGGATGGCTCCTGCGCCGCACCAACTTTGCTTTGTTGCTGCTTGCTGCGAAGGTCCTGCGGGGGTAACAGGCCCGACATAGGCTGACGTCATAGGTTGGGTGCTACAGAAACTACCCAAAAAGAATAAGATTGTAAGCTGCAGTTACACCACTACATAATATGTATATGTATAATACATAAAGGGAGGCTCCTCAGAATTAGATTTGGCTACCCAGAAACAGAGTTTGGTATAATTTTTTCCCCAAAAATAAAATTCAAGTTTGGACGGCAACCTTTCAAACCATCTGACCCGGATACTAACCAAGAACTGTGAGCTAGGTCCCACCAAAAAAAAATGGCAATGCATCTGTAATTTAACTTAACCCTTTTTGTGTCAAACGGAGCAGTTTGAAGCCCTATTGGGGCTCTTGGCGCCGCTGGCGCTGCTGGTCCGTGCGCCCCATTGTGGCCTAGAGCCTACATGAGGTAGGGTGGCAGACCCAATTGTATAAATACAAAAACAAATTGGCCCGAACTACTCTGAATAATAGTTTGCCGGTGCAATTTTATAACGTGACTTTTGCCCATGGAGTTAGGAATGACATCTATATATTCACCCTGGAGGAACCATATTATTGTTATTATTATTATTGACCTACACTATCGGAACCATCATGTATATATATATACATACTTAATCAAATAAACCCTACAATCGATAACGTAATAGCCAGCGGGCAAAACTAACATTTTCATTTGATATATTGTGCTTTGAAAATCTTTTTTTAATAACATCAGATGGGCAAGACCCTGTGTCAAGCTTTCTGTGGCCATCGCCAATACTAAAGCAACATGTGGAAGCCTATGCGTGCATATACATATACTGCAGAAAATTATAGAAAATCGTTTTTATATATTAACATTGAAATAAAAAGTCGTATGATACAGTTCTGTATGCACGCTCGCTTCGTTGGTTTCATGATTGAAAAGCGGTTCCAATGAGTTTCGCGGAGTTCAGAAACTTAAGTTTTTGTGAGCCATGAGTTACTTGTTTTCAAGCCACGATATTGATTGCCCACGGGGGATGGCCATGCGATCTAACATTGGTATAGTATAGACAATGGAAATGCAAGCAGTTAGATACACCAAAGATTTTGGGTTTAGCATTGCAAGGTTGGCAGCCACACCCAAAATCAGAAATTTGCGGGCTACCGGGATCGGGTAATCATTTTTCATTTGCTAGGTCTCCAAACATTTCTCTCCTGGTGGTGTGAAAATTTCAGCTTCAAAACTTTGCCTGCAAGATTCTTCCAAAAAATGTGAACACTTAATTTAGCAAATTGGCTTTTCAAAATGTTTGGGGATTTGAGACATGCAGTAAGTGCTGGCCGAATATCTGCATGTCCTGGTCTCACCTGAGACCAGGACATACAGGTATTTCCAGGCCATGTCGACATATCTTACCCATTCTAGTATTGTATTCCTATTGCACCATGTTTTCCTCAATAGTGGGCCTTCACCAAAATAAGAGAAAGTGCCTGGCCCGGCAATATCTGCATGTCCCAAATTTGAAGAAATTGCCAGGACCTCTTTTCTTTAATTAGGTGTTCAAACATTTTTGCACCCAGCCTTGTGAACTTGAGTCAGGCGCTGGTGAGGTGTACGTTGTGTAAGTACCCGATGGTGCGCAAGACGGATTTTTGTGGTTTCAAATTCAACGAGATTACAGCAAGACAAAAACCCCAATACCACTAAAGAGTTGGAGATGGGTTGGTCATATATTTTGTCTTCACCGCGAAGTGATAACTCAAAAAGAATTTCAAATCACGCTGCGATGCGCGCAGGGGGAGGGGGGGGAGCATCGCTGTTCGTCTTGGACGCAGGGCATGTCAAGATATTCTGTGTGTGTGACAGCAGGAGTTGGGATTAGCTGTCTGAACCCCGGGAAGCTTGGAGCAAGCGTTTTTCAACCACGAGGCCAACAAAACGAGCGTGTATACATAAATAAATCATAAAATGCGTTTACTTTAATGTTAAATTTAAATATGGAAAAGCTATAGTATATGTATATGCACGCATAGGCTTCTACATGTTGCTTTAGTATTGGCGACGGCCACAGAAAGATTGACATAGGATCTTGCCCATCTGATGTTATATTTTAAAAAAATATCAAGGCACAAGATATCAAATGAAAACGTTAGTTCTGCCCGCTGGCTATTACGTTATCGATTGTAGGGTTGATTTGATTACATATATATATATGTGTGTGTGATGGTTCCAATAGTGTAGGTTCAATAATTGTGATTTCCCTAGGCAGAATCATGCCCACCTCCATTGGATATCCTTCCTAACTTTCTTGTAGGATAAAATCACGTTGTGAAATTACACCGGCGCATGTTTTTGTTAGAGGGTCAACTCTATCAAATCCCAAATTTGGGCCAAAATTTGTTGTATTTATACAATTGGGCCTGCCACCCTACCTCATGTAGGCTGTAGGCCACAATGGGGCGCACGGACCAGCAGCGCCAGCGGTGCCAAGAGCGCCAATGGGGCTTGAAACTGCTCCGTTTGACAAAAACGGGTTAAGTTAAATTACAGATGCATTGCCATTTTTGGGGGGCCCCTAGCTCACAGTTCTTGGTTAGTATCCGGGTCAGATGGTTTGAAAGGTTGCCGTCCAAACTTGAATTTTATTTTTTGGGAATGATTTATACCAAACTCTGTTTCTGGGTAGCCAAATCTAATTCTGAGGATTCGTTCTTCATAATTTGAAAAGGATTCTATTTGTTCTATCTCCTATGGGCTGTTATAGTTATAAGTCATTGAAACCATGCATTTTCGAAGCGGGTTTTATAATTCTGATTTATATCCACAGGAGGGATCCATCCTTCAACCCGCGAGGATTCTAGAGTGTTGTTGGCATTAGATTTTGTCTGAAAATGAGAATCTCATGGTTGATCATCATTTCGGGCATCCACTATTTTCATCTATTTATGAATAACGCCATATTATCAATATTTCATATTGTTGATTACATACATATCCTATTCTATTCCCATTACATATATATATTATATAGCCCCACAAAAGGGCTAGTCTTATAACTCCGAGGTTTGTTGCTTTTCAAGCCCCATGCATTGGCATTTTTGATTGACATCTTGAGCCGCTCAGACCCATCAACAGGCCCCGGGCTCGGTGCGATCGGCTTTCCAATGACCAATCATGAGGCCAATCCTTGGCATTTCGGAAACATAATTATCTGCCTCGACCCCTGCCTCCCCAACATGCCCCAACAACACAAGCTGTGGAGAAATTAAGGTCGTCATCCCATAAATAATGATTAGGATGGAAATTCTGGGAATTTAAGTCGTATTTGATCACACCGCGAAGCAGTTCCGAAAGTTCTCTCAGTTGAACCCCCATCTGTCTCCGAGTTGAATGAAGTAGGGAAACCAAAGGTTTGGAGTTTGGAGGTCTCAATCTGCCCGTGTTGGGTATTTGCATCCACCAGCGAAAGGGTCCGCAATCCAGCAATGAAACCATTCAGCGGATGGATTTTCAAAGTGCCTGTGAAAAACAGGAATGTTTCATTGAGAACAAACTGTACTCCACATGCAACTTCCCTATTCGAAACGTACCCTCAGTTTATTTCACAACAGTATAGAAAATTATCACTTTAATAGGTAAATCAACTCAGCTCAATGGGCGCTTGCAGTTCGCAGAACGGATCCGCTGGATCAAGGTAGATGGATCTAGGGAAATACCAGCCCTATGTAACGACCATATATCTTGCTTGGATGCGCATCAATGGGGCTGTCCAATAATAATTAGTGTACCTTCCCAGAGACACATGGACACGGGACCACGACAAAAAATGTGACATTGAATGTCCAATATGACCCAATATGTATCAATATGTCAGATAGCTTGGCAGCACATATGTCAGATAGAATGCCAAATAAAATGTGAGAATGTGAGATAGAATGTCAGATAGAATGCCAGATAGAGTGCCATGTAAAAGCAAGATAGGATGTCAGAATATATGCCACTCAGAATGTCAGATATAGAGGCAGGTAGAATGTCAGATAAAATGTCAGAATATCATTATTTCAGAAGATAATTATGTCAAATAGAATGCTCAAAAGAATGTCAAAACCTGTTTACAGATCAAACTAACCGCAAAATCACCCATGCGTGGCCGCAAAGTCATCGAGTTGCTTTCGAACTGATTCCAACAGAAAATGGTTTCCAGTCAGACACCACTCCACTGTCCCTGGTCCTGACGTTTTATCAGTTTGTACCCGAATATTCTGTACATTCTGTTAACCTGATGTGTCTGACGTGATGTATTTCGGCATTGAAGATGGCGAGAAGCAAAATAGGGATCGTTGAAGGCCGGGTTGTTTTTGCAGCTTGTGACATGTTGTGGCACGGTGGCACCTGGATCTTCGAGTCTGTCATTGAGTAGCGTTCAGCTGAAATGGCACGCCACAAATGCGAGAAGGAAAGCTATATAATGATAGAATTTCAGAAAAATGCCAAATAAATCCAAATAACATATCAGAAATTGTGTCAGATAAAATGACAGAAAATATGTCAGGTAGAATGCCAGATAGAATGCCAGATAGAATGCCAGAATATGCCAGGTAGAATGTAAATTAAAATGTCAGAAGAACTGTCAGATAAAATGCCAGAAAGAATGCCATATAAAATGTTAAATGGAATGCGAGATAAACATGCATTTTGTGGACATGACACACACACACTCTACTCATCTAAATCAGGTACAAATTCATGTGCATGTTATCATGTTGAATTGTAACTGAAACATGAATTGCCACTTGATTTGTGATGGGTTTCACCTGCACTGCATCTGCTGTGTGATTTTGTCAGGTAGTTCACTAACACAATTGACATGTGTAAACTGATAACGGCATGTTTTTGCAAAGGGTCTATACTAGCATGGTTGTAGATTGTTTATTCAACATGTTCAGTTTGAACTAGACCTGGCCTATCCTGGACTTGTGCGACGACTGACTTGTGCGACACAGAGCTGTAGCCGTTTTCAGAATGCCACGGGGATCACTCAAAGTAATGACTGGGTTCCCTGACGTCAAGACTATGGCGATGATTATGAAGAACTCGACTATCCTCAGCTGCTGCCGGGATCAGCTGGGTCCTTTCATCAATTTTTTTGGGTAAGGAAGACCACCCAACACCCTGGATTTTTGTATCTGAGAGTATTGGCAAACCCATCCTATGAGGTATGATGACTTCCATGGGCGCAATATGTGAAGAATATGCAATATGCATCTTGTTGGACAGACTTGGCATCATCTGCATCTCACCGTATATGGAAAATGCACGATGTCAGCCAGTTGACTTTGCTGAGCTCAACTTTGCTCCAGTGTTCCGGGTCTTGAAATAGACAGAAAAGCAAATCACGATCAAACTAGCATGTCCTAGTGGGAACAACACATTATCATAATATGACTAATAGTAGGGCCTAAAGTACTGATTCGGAATATGTAGAAACTTAAAAAACACCAACTCTTCCATCTTTTTTGGAGCACAACACTCCATCTTCATCCCCCTTCATCCCCCCTGTAACCTTCAACAGCTATCAGCATCAGCGACAAGTAACAAGTCCCGGAGCCAGAGGAGCCAAGTGTACTTGTGACCCGCCTGCTTGAAGCCACTCTTGTAACCATCCTGACAATACCACAGTGGCACAGTGGGATGAAAATTTAAGGAGGATTTCCCATGGGATTTCCCGGACAAATCTCTGGCCATTGATTTTTACGGCTGCCTGGGGAAATGGTGATGAACCATGAACCAATGGATTATGAGGGTGCCCAAATTTTCAGACACATCCATCTCTTCAAGGTGTCAGAAGCATTTCGCAAGGCGAAGCTCAGATTGTTGTTTTTATTCTCAAGCCATAGGGGAAATTTTGGATATCCCACTGGCTTTTGAAGTAACCATGGCCAGTTTGGGGGTCCAGGGCTTCAATTTTGGGGGTGGAGTTCAGAACTGCCCATTGCGAATAGAATAGAACTTTGTCGGTCCTCCGAAAACACAGAGTCTACCACCAAGATTTTTCCTTCATGGTTAAGCGCTCTCTGACCCCACCATGATGTAGGTAGGTCCGGTAGGTGATATCCATGAATTTATAGAACAGTAAGCATCCCACTGTACTGAGGTTGGATCACAATTCACCCGAAAAGTTCAGCCATGAATGGCAACACTTCCTCAAAAAATGGGGGAGTTCTCCCAAGCTAACTTTGTTGCCCAACTCTAAACACATCGCTGAAAACGTCGGAGCCAAAAACGTAGCCATCCTTGACCCCTCTGCGATAGGCTTCAGGACCCGCAAGGCTATCGTTGGGGTGCTCCTGCTATGCTCCACCGAAACTGGGTGTTGAGGTGCGCACCTTTGGGGGGAAAAAATCGTCTGTAACTGGAGATTCAATGGGAATATCATGAAATGAAATATATATATATATATATAAGTTCTATATTTGTAGATATTATGGATATATTATACATGTGACATATGATATGTGGTCTGTAATTTCAATTTAAAAAAACCTGTTACCACTTACCACCCACAGGTAGGCCCCCTAAACGCTAGCTGCTTTACAACTGGGGGCAGCACCTTGCAACAGAGACTTCCCCAAACCGCGATGTGAAAATAGGTGTCAAACCGGAAAGGTCAACGCTGCACGAAAGTGCCACCTTTTCCAACACCAAGGAGCGATGCGTCAGCCTAGCTCGCTGAGAGCAGGCTCAAGGGCCCTTTGATACAAATGGGACAACGGCGGAAATGGAGTATGCATCTCATGCCAAGTGTTACACTTCTCGATTTGTGCAACATGTGTCACTGGCAAATTAACACGCCCTCCATATGACATTTGCGTCCACCTTTCAAAAATTATCCCATCCAAATTTCTCTACCAACATGGTCTACTTCAGACGGCGAATGAAAGAAACTTCGCTGTCCTCATTGCAACTAGGCTCCCATCCGGTGGCTTCTAAAAACAAAGCCAAATCCACAGCACGCGTCACTTTCTTCCCTTGCAGAATTCCAGTGTCATTGGTGCCATAGGTCTTTTTGATCCATCGTAGATATCCGGCAATCTCATCATTGGTGGAGGCCAGCTTTGCAAGCTCACAGTAGCTCATCTTGAGGGATTTCACCTTGTCCATCTCACAGACAACGCGTCCCCAGTCCTGGATGCTCAAACCCTTCGGGGTCTCGATCTTTGGATTGGAGTGGATAATAAACCACTCTTTGCGCTGCACATCACCTGCTTGATAAGCATCATGTGGCAATGTAGGCTCGATCTCAGACATCCCGGTATAGCTCAATGCTTCCCAGTCAGATTCTCGATCGCGCTGACGCTTGGATGCATCAGACATGCTTCCCAACGCAAGGCTGGCTGCCTTGGGGGAATATCCCATGGTCTCAGACTTACCCATCAGCTCGGCTTCGCGAATCAAATGGCTTGCTGGCACCATAGTAGATTTCAAGGCGAGGGAATCCTTGTAAACATTGATCACCTGCTGGGCTTGTCCATGGACAACGGCACGGTGAAGCAATCCACTGAGATGGCTGATCTCAGCAGTGGACAACTTCTCACAGTCCACTCCTTCGACGCCTTTTGCACCACGAGGCATCTTTGCGGGAGTTGCCATGAGCACTTGAGGTCAATTGGTCAGACCTTGTTGGGAGACACGGTGGGTCCTCTTTCGGATAAATCTCCTTGAGCACACGTCTGGCCAGACAATCGCTGTTGCAGCAGCTTTGCTTCGCAAGGCAAACATGTAAGTGCTATGTTCTTACGGCCTTATTGATCTATACACTTATTAATTCTTATGTTTATGGGACCACTACATCACGCCCTCTTAGTCTTGATGCCTTTTTGACATGCATTCACTGGACTTGCAAAACGGCTATACACCTTCAAGTTTCTATGTGAAAGACCCTTGCAGGCTGTGGTGGCTGGGAAAAATAAACATCTATACAACTCACGGAAAAACGCATGCATTGCAGGGACCCTGGTCAGTCCTCAGGTTTTGGTTCTACCCCTTGCTTTTCCTTTTTCCCTGACTGGGTACAAAGAGTTATCTCATAAGTTCCTTCATCAAGAATTTCATACAAGGGTTTGGTGTCACCTTTCAGCTTCGTTAGGCAATCTGAGCTCATGCGTAGGTTGTTTACCCAGAACACTATGATGTTTTGATTCACAGTGGTCTCCTTTGCAATCGCATAGTCGATTTGAAGTCTTTTCTCAACAGATACAGCTTGGCTACAGCAACTGCGAGTGATGGCATCAAAGAAACCCTTACTGTCAATGACCAAAGCAGCAGGATTGGTGGGAACAATTTCACGGAACTGTCTTGGCGTCAATCCATCTAGAACTTCTGCTAACATGGCTTGGAAGGCTTCTATGCTATCTAATCCGTTCTGACCGGCCAATGTTTCGGCTGCAACTGAAGAGCGAACCACTCTGCGAAGCTTTTTGCTCTGCCAGTCGATGATCCAGCAGACTGTGCGTCTCCTTTCGAAGATGGTAGGGGTGGTTATACAAAGTATGAAACCACCTTGGCTTTCGCCATTGGCTCTTGTACCCCACCCTGCATCGGAAATGCACATCAGGCGCCAATCTTTGACATCAATGCCACTTGGAAAACGGAGGCACACTTTTCTCTGTTTCATTTCTCGAATCGCCTTATTGTAAAGTTGAACATGTGCTACCGTACCCTTATCTTGGATGCCCTGTAAAAATGAAGCTAAAAATGCTTGGTCAGGTCTGGTGGAGTTTGCAACCCATGCTAACTGACCTGCACATGTCCTCATGATTGAAGCATCTTTCAAAGGAGTATTGGCACTACCTAAAGGTTTCGTTTCGACTGGCTCAAGTGCATCTATGTAGGCCTCCTGGCCCAGTTCGATAGCAAAGGTGTTTGGGCACTGTCTTATTTCAATCCCGGTGTACCTGATTGTGAAGGTACGGAAATCACCAAAGGGCAGCTGCTTTCGGAGGTTGGACAGCACATCGTCCATTTCTTTTTCATCACCTCCAATGAGATCATCAACATGTACCCCACATATCCCAAGGAGTTTGCCATTTTTGCTACGCAAGGAATAGAGACAGGGATCTAGTTGGGAAACCATTAAACCAGCTGACTTTAGTTCACAGGATAACCTAAGGAACCAAGCTCGGGGTGCTTCGGCTAAGCCGTATGCGGCCTTTTCTAATCTGAAGAGATCATCATTTGACAAATTCATCCATTCCTTAATTTCTTTTGGGGGTCTGAAGAATATGTCACGTTGTGAAGGATCCCCTGATAAGAAGGCTGTCTTTATGTCAGCTCCCCACAACTTCCAACGCTTGGCTGCACATAGGGACAAGATCAGATGTTTGGTCTCCTTACGCAAGGTCGGTGAATCAGTCTGGATTTTCCCAAGTTCAGGGTCTTGCCAACCCACTAGAACTAATCTAGCCTTTGGGGATTTCTTGCGGTCATCAGGATCACTACTCTTTTTCCAAACCAACACCCATCTTGCTCGGATTATCCGATCCACAGGTATGCCCTTAGCCTTACACAAGGATGTCACTTTGTTTTCAATCCAAGAATTCCATTCTTTCTTCATGGCTTGCTCGAAAAGTTTTTGGTCTTCTTTGGATAGTTTTCTAAATGACACTTCAACCCTACGTAATTTGGCCTTTGGGGTCACCTGAAAACATTCATCCAAAACTCCACACAAGCACATAGGATTATCACTGATATCTTCAGGCATAACATCTAGTGACATCTCGAACACATGCTCGGCCCTTGGCTTGGGACGATTGGATGTTACCTGCAGCTCATCATCAGGCGGCACTGGAACTTCCACTGGAGCATTGAAGTCCGGCATGGACTGGTCACTGTTGGGAGGCTCTACAGATTCTTGTTGTGATGTATCATCAGGTTCCAATGACATGTTCTGATCTGGCTGCATCAACACTGAATTTGGCTCTGCTTGACCTGCAATTTCAGGTTCAGGCAAGTCAGGCATTTCTTCGGCAGGCGGCATGACATCATCGGGTGCAATTGATGGTGAATACGGTGATTCTGGCTCAACTTCTTCTACTTCACTATCTATGGTTACTCTAGGTTTCTTAACTAGGGGACCACTTATCATGTTGTCATCATCATCATCTTGGTCACCAAGTGCTGCACCTAGGTCATGAACCACGTTTGGAGTTTCACCCTCATGCAATGCACCATGTGGAGGCATGCCGGCAGCTCGTGCTTCCCAATAGGCTTGAGAACGGTAAAAACGTCTACGGATTTTACGGGGTCCGCCCTCTGAGTGAGGATCAGGGGGACCAGGCTCAGCCAAAACATCATCATGGAGGTCCATGTCTATGTCTTCAGGTCTATCTTGTGAGAGGTCTATGAACTGGCCTGATTTCTCCCTGAGTTGTTCATCAGCTCGTTCAACATCATCGGGCATGTCACCCTGTTCAAGAGCTTTGGAAAGAGCACGAAACTGCACTTCGTCTTCTGCAATTGGGCGTAAGCCTTCTGGCGAACACTTGTACAGAAAACCATTGTATGACACCCAGATTAATCTAGGAATTACACCATCAGTTGAACTTTCAGTCCCAATTATGCGGGCTGGTCCCAACCATGCACCATGTCTTGTTGACAATTGTCCCCGACCCTGGCTTCTATACATGTAAACCATTTGACCCTGAGTATATGGTCCACGCATTGGTCTATTCCTACCCCCTACAGCCCTTCTCCATGTGTCACGTGCATGTTCTTCTAAGAAGGCTTTCGCAGCAATCTCTCTGAGATGGAGCTTTGCAGAAAAGGTAGGGTCAGCCAGAACCTGGGATTGAGAGACAATGTTCCGCTGTTCATCGACATCTGCAAGTGATCCAGCATGTCTGGGCTCACGGCCTACTTGGATGGCCCGCGGGGTTGCTAAGTTTTACAATGTTTTACAGAAGTTGTAGGACTTAGCTAATCATTTTACATTGTTTGCTAGATAGGCTAATGACTTAGCTAAACCCTTAGCTAAAGGGTTAAGTTAACCATTTAGCTAAGGGTTTAGCCAAAGGGTTAGCCAACTTGGCTAAGGGTTTAGCAAAGCAGCTAATGTATAGACAATAGCATTTTTTGAAGAAAAAAATCAATTTGTTTTCATGTTGTTTTCGAAAAAAACAAATATTTTTTCAATTTTCACAATGTGTTTTTTAAGATTCCATGGTGCATCAGCAAGCAGTGTGTAGCCAATGTGGCTGACCAGCATAGAAACCATGCAATCACACAATCCAGAAAAACAAACACTGCAAGGGAAGCAAACAACAACTGCAAGTGGGTTTTTCACCTGCATTCCACTGGCAGTAGCACCATGACCTGGCCATTTTTCAGGCCTCTGTGAAACAGAGAACATTTGATCTCAGAAGTGCTGACAAACTGTGGGTTATCTTGCGTTTTGCAAACCCAATGTGAAACATGTTTTTCCATGACATCCCAAAAAGATAGCAAAGCTACATTCTCCCCATTGACTTCAGCAAAAAGCCACACTTCACAAATTTGTTTTGTTGATTTCAGCATTACCACATCTTTCTTGTTGGCCAATCCAGAAGGAGACAGATGTGCACAAACACACATATAGCAGGACTCAATAGTCTCCCCCCACATTTGTGCAAAGAGGTTGTTTACCTTCTTTGTTGCTTTGCACTTTTTTTTTAACCTGGCATGTTGCCCAAAGTAATCTTCATCAAGCAAAAGAGCCAAGTCATGAGCCACAACTTGCACCAAGACATGCTTTTCATAGTTTCTGGTGTTTTGAATATCTTGGGAATACCTCTTGACAATTCGATGCTTCCTTTCATGCACCCAGCAGCTCACCAATAGAGAGAATCTCTCGAGGTGTGACCCCAAATGCACCAACCAGTGGAATTTGCTGTGCATCCACTCGCTCCAGCCACATTCTTCATACTTGTCCTGGATCTGACTGACCTTGCTCCTGATGTTTTGAGGGGATGTGCATCCATGAGGAATGGCTTGTAAAAGCCCCAGCAAGTCTGCAACTGCAAGTAAAGCTTGACATTCTTTGTCACAATGGCCAGATTTCAAAATGACAGTGAGAACAAACATCGCCAAAATTGGCATGAGTGCCAGCACTTCAGAAGCATTGCACTTGAAGGTCTGAGCTTCTTTGTTTGATTTCTGTCGTTTGGTGCTGAATAAGCTTTGTAAATTGATAGACTTGGATTGTGGCAATGTCCACAAAGCCATGTACCCTGCAATCATGGGGTACAGGTTCTGTCCAGTTTTTTTGCCAGCACCTTCAAGAAAGAGGTAAATAGTTGTTTGACAAACACCACCCACACACATCAAATGCATCCAATCATGCATGAACTGGCTTGCAGGCTTGAGAATAGGTCTTGGAGAAGTGTGCAAAGAATCATCAAATAGAAGCCCATGTGGCTGGTAATTCATGCCACTTGCTTGCTGCCAAAGATTGAAGTCAGCTTTGGACCTAGGCCAGTGGCACAAGCAGCAAACCCCAACATGGCATATATAGGGACCTTCACCCAATACAAAACCACACCATAACAAAAAGTAAGCCCATAAACCCAGACACATAATGCCATAGTTGGTTCTCAGCCTTTGGATTGAATTCCAAATGTCATTGTCAGAAGTGAACACACAATCTGCCTCCTTCACATTATCTGTAAGTAAAATTTCTCCTCCTTCTTCATTTGTCAGCTTTGACCTTTTGGAGATAATGTTTCTGCATAGCAGGCAGCACCTGGTACCACTGTCGCCCTTCACAGAAAACACTGCCCTATGTGCTGCCCCATCTTGCACAAGACACCCCAGTTGAATCCAGATCCTGCAATGGTCTCCATCAGGACCTTTCAATAAAATCCCTCCTTCTTGAAGATCACACATATCATTCTGAAAAATTTTTTTGATGATTGCTTTCATCAATTGTCCAATCCCAGCAAAACAGTGTGTCAGAAAGGATGACCTGCAACATGCCAGGGTCAGCCATGCACATTCCTGGCTTAAGACTTCAGATCCAAACTGTGCAATAGATGCATAGGCAAGCCAGCACTTGCGCCTGTTGTCAGCTGATAATACATTACCTGGCACCACCTCATCTGAATAGAGAATCAGCTGGTATGGTGAATGTGGTGTAGGAGGTGTCTTTTGCATGGTGTCCTTCAGCAACTTGTAGAACCCACCTCCTTGTCCAAAAGCTGCAAACAGTAGAGCATGCAAATTGACAATGGTAGCTGTGCATGGTTGTTCACCTTCCAAGGCAACCTCACAGAACATAGGGCCATATTCATCATACTTTGAAAGTTCCTTGTGGGTTGCCTCCCTGATGTGTTTTCTCTGATGTAGGTCAATGGCACCATGTTTTTGCACTTCTTCCAGCACACCTGCAAGTGCAGATGCAGTCATGTGAGGCAATTTCTTCCCCAAATAGTGCAGCCTTCTGAGCTTGGAATCCCTGTCCATGGCGCTGGGAGCTATATACCTGGAACCCACAGAATGAAGACAATAATTGGCCAACTGCTTTGTTATGTGACATTTCTCAATGTGAGCAAGAAAACTTCAACCATATGATATGTCTATTTAAAAAAATGAGATAGTGTTGCCCTAATGGCATTGCAATATATGCAAGGTTAAACCCAAGCTGCAAACAACAGCTGACAAATTGCTGCGGCACATGCAGGCTGCAATGCTCTATAGTCAGCTTGCCCTATGCTATGAGATGTCTGTAGCCAATAGGCATGCACATGAATTGATACCATTGTTTCAATCCAGCTGCTGCAATCTGCAATCAAATCCAGCCATGTGGCTACAAAAGTTCATGGCTCATGAATACACCTGCTGTGTTACAAGCCTTTTGGCTGGAAAAGCTGTTGCATAATGCCATGCAAGCCAGGAGGCTACATGCCTCATGCCATGCAAGCCAGAAGGCTACATGTCCCATGCCATGCAAGCCAGGAGGCTACATGTCTCATGCCATGCAAGCCAGAAGGCTACATGTCTCATGGTGGCAGACCACATGGTCACATGCACACTTCCTGGCAAACATGTCAGCACATTGGCTTTTCACACACTGCTGCATGTGGAGAAACACAAAGAAGTATTGCACAATGTATTGGGCACTAATTTGAATCTTGAACTGCACATGCAGGAACAAGTAGACACTTCAAAGGCATGTGCAAACCCAGGAGTGATCTGTCAGCCTTTTTCCCAGCCAAAGCTTTCTAAGCTGCAAAGACATCTAAGAGATAAACTTGCCACAGCTAAGATGACCCCTGCAAAGAAACATGTACTTATTAGTACACTTTGCACCCAAACTCAAATGGCTCAGCTGCAGTTGCTATCCCACAGCTCCACAGCAGTAGCTCTGGCTTTCTTGGCAAGCTCACAAGCATCCTCTTCTGAGTGGCCTGTTTTGATGGCCATTTGCTTGCACTTGTGGTAGTGCTTGTCATAGTAATTCCTTGGTGTACTCTTGAGCTGAGCCTCAGAGGGAGGTGGGACCTTGTACTCCAAGATCTTGGCCTTTTTGGAGGCAGACACATTGCTGCTGGAAGGCCTTTTCATGATAGCTGGCTTGGGGGAAGCCTTTGCTTTGCCTTTGGCATTGGCCTTTGTCTTTGCCTTTGCTTTTGCTTTTGCCTTTGCACTTGCTTCCCTGTGCTTCAGTGCATTAAATGCTGCTGTCTCATAGTCAGGTTCCTCAGCCTGGGTGTCAAGGCTGTCATTGGACTGGCCTTTCTTGGTGCCAATGCTGTCCTTGGACTTGCCTTTCTGGGTAGAAGGTGTAGCAGCTGGCTCCTCTGTGGCATCAGGAGGGGCAGGTGTATTGCAAGGCAGCACCAGCTTGGAATCAGTATTGTGGTTGGGTGCCTCACCTGGTGCATCCCCAAGAGCCAGTTGTGTCTTTGGCTTGAAGTTGTGGAGGGGTGCTTGGCTACCCTGCCCTTGGTCATACTGGTGCTGACCAGGCCCTTCTCCATGATTGCCAATGCCCATGAGCCTGCTGCACATCATGTTGAACATGTGCATCATTGGTGTATTCATCATTTCATTCATGCTGGGAGTGCTGCCTGCTGATGCAGACTGGTGCTGTTCAACTTTTGCAGGAGTGTTCCTAATGTGCTTGGAAGTGTTTCTCAGCACCACCTTCTTGGCAACAAGGTTGAACTGGTCAATCACTCTGGGGCATGGCTGGCCTGAAGCATAAGCAGCTTGGTAAACATCTTGGCAAAGTTCCTTGGGGTGCTCAGGGTACTTGGCAATGGTGCTGCACTTTGTAGTGCAAGTGGTGCTTGCAAAAGTGGCTTTGAACTCTTGCAGCATGTCATACATCATTTTTTCTTCAGGCACCACTGTAAGAGAGCATGCTAACAGTGCCATGCAAGCCTTCATGGTTTGCTCATGCATGCTAGCAATCCCAAGCATTTTTAGCCTCAAGGCTACCACAGTTTGCTTTCTAGCCCAGGAAGTGTTGGGGTTGTCCAACTCTTTCCACTCATCATGTGTCATGTAGTTGTAGATGTGCAAGAGTGTCTGTGGCTTCAGAACCAATGATTTGCTGATATCCACCACACCAAGTGTCATTCTTTGCTCCAAAACATCCACAATGGACTTGAGGTGGGCATCATTCAAACACCTAGCAGCATCTTTGATCCTCACAGCATCACCTGGAGGCAAGTCAGCTAGGCCCTTGATCTTGGCACAAGCTCCTTTGACAAGTGCATGGCAAAAAGAATCATTGGTGTCCTTGCCCTCTATGAGCTTTGACACGTCTTGAATCTCTTTGCAAATGTCACCCACTGTCCACACGGCAGCAGCAACAACAACACCAATGAACTTTCACTACCTTTGATAGACCCAAATGGACTTGCATACAAAGGTTGTGTGTATACTTGCATATGGCATTCCATAAGCAACCTCACAGCTCACCACCATTCAAAAACAAACAATGGCATCTAGGGTGCAATGCAGCATGCCAATGCACAAGTGGTGAGAATATACCATATCATTTGCAAGTTGGTTGCTGCCTATGTTTGTGTGAAGTTCTGACTCTTCACCAACATGGTGGCTTGTGCACAAGAGTTCTTTTTTGGCCAGCCCATTGTCCAGTGTGAACATTCAAAGCAGCAATCCTAAGATGACCAAGTCAAAATGAAGACTGCAGCCACCACTTTGCTGCAAATGTTCTGCCTTCATGTAATATTCAAAATTGTCAGCCCATTATGAGCCATGTATGCAGCCTACTTTTTCTGACCCTTTGGTTCAGATGGCTTCTTGCTGTTCACACTCCTGGATCTAGACCTAGCCCTTTCACTGCAATCAGCCTGTGTTGTAGTACATGTTGAAGATGGCTGCCCAGCAGCTTCCTTGTCATTCTCCTTGTCCAAAGCATTGAAGAACATATAGGCTGCCCCCATCCAAGCTCCAGGCCTTTGAGAGCATGGAAAGTAGCCAAACATGTCCAGATCTTCATCAGGCTTAGAATCAGCAGCTGACATGGCTGCTCACAGCACAATGCAGCACAAACCAACAACACTACAGGTGCTAGTGTTTGATCAAGCAGGCTGCACACCAAGGTCTTGATGATAATGCGCAATGTGCCAGAAGCCAGTTGGTATATTATTTCAATCAAGATGGTGTGTAGCCAAAAGGCTGGAATACCATGCAAACAATAGCAACAGAGTCTCTAGCCTTCCTGGCTCAGTAATACATGCCAACATGTGAGTGAATGGCCAAAACTCTTCCAACATACTGGTGTGTAGCCACAAGGCTTGTGCAGACTGCAGCACATGGACATTGGCAGTGGGTGTGTAGCCTGATGGCTGATTGAATGGACTTTGTACACATCATGCAAAAGTTTAAGAATTCATTTTTCCATCCATGGGCATCATGCTACAACTTGGGTGCAAATACAAGCTGTGACCCTTGACTGTACACATCCAAGCTACATTACCATATGGTGCAACTGACTGCATCAACAAAGACTAAGGCTTGTTGAGTTGATTGCAAGATGAAGTGCATACATTTCAGCAATATTGTTTCACACTTGCACATGTGTCTTCACTGTTCAATCTACCTCACAGTCCTTCTTGGTCAGAGCTGGAGGGAAGGGCAGAACCAGGAAACATTGCTCCATCTCTTAGCCATGGCTGCACATACCTGATGGCAAATTCACTGTACACTTTGTAACAATAGAACATGCGCTCAGTTGCATCACCCAGGCCCTTGCACTTCATGATGGAGTCTTCAACATCAGTCCTTGGTGAATGCCATGTGTAAAGTAATACATGGTATGAAATGTAAATTGACACCTTCTACAGCATTCCCACACAGGATGGAAATTACTTGGCCATGCTGCATGATAATCAGTGTCAATGCACAAGTTATTGCAATCTAGTCTCCATTCCTGCCACCCTGTGCGGTGGACCTCCACAAACCACAGCTTTGCAGTTCCATCCGAAGCAAACTCAACTTTGTGGTAGGAGTACACAAAGTCATCAGCACTGGCAATTGACTCACTGTCAAATGCATCAGGTTGGGAACCATGTCCTCCTCCAATACCATCCTTACCACCACTCTTTCCTTTTTCATTCCCTTTGCCACCATAGCCCTTTCTACCTTTACCACCCATGGCAGCCACACACAGCTACAAACACCTAACCAGCTATCAACTGCAAGCCAAAATTGTTTGGTGTAGTGCATCATGCCATTGAGTATCACCAACAGCTATGATTTGAGTCCACAAAAAAACCAAATTGTACAACTACCATTGTGTCACAAAACATGCTCAAGGTTCAAGCCCACACATCACAGTGACCTCATGCAAAGTTGCAAACTGATGGACAGCAAGAATTTCCTACATACAAAGCTAACCAACTGTATCTCACTCACAACATGCAAGCCAGAATTGGCTACACATGGTGCATGATAGCAGAGTGATCAGCAGAAAGGTCAACCACATGTTTTCACATTTGCACAACAAGCTGTATGCTCTTAGCCAAGGTAGGATTATACTCTACCAAATGAAATGTACAAGATATCTACAAAAAATGCTGCCTGCTACAGCCCACAGCAGATATCATTCACCTATGAATTTCAATGTAAGATATGACTTGAAATGTCAAATATATTTGTAAATTCAAAACTTAGGATAGTTCACCAATTTAGATATCTAAATTGAAAATGTCGAACAGAAGCTTTCCAATTTAGATATCTAAATTTAAACTTCAAAAACCAAGGTTACCAATTTAGATATCTAAATTCTATATGCCAAAAGTCAGGTTTCCAATTTAGATATCTAAATTTAAAATGCCAAAGAGAAGCTTTCCAATTTAGATATCTAAATTTAAGGTTCACAGAACAATATTTCCAATTTAGATATCTAAATTGGAAGTTTCAGAAATATAGTTCCTAAATTTGATATAAAACAATAATAATCTTGCATATATTATTGTTGAAATTAGAAATAATTGTGTATTTACTAAGCAGACTAAGCATTAATGGTACATCATTCAATACTCCATTGAGTTCAAAGCCAATCCAAGAATGTACTTCTTGTGAACATAAGCATGCATTGTTTCTTTTATTGTTTGCCATTCACTAGCTAACATTGAATACACACATCATGATATTCAACATATTCAAATACAACTGAAACCATTGTAAACTCAACAAAGTTCACAAGGTAAAGCTGGGAGTGGCTTTGAATCCCTGCTGTGGGCTTCATCAGCAGCTGACCGGCAAGATATCTCAGCAGCCTGTGTTCTGCTCATATCCATGAAGTTAGACCAAATTGGTCACTGTGCTTTGCACATGCCCTGAATTGTGTCAATTTCAATATGAAACAGCAGCTTTGTTTTCAATCATAATCAATAATGTTGATCATTGTATGCTTGGTTACTGTTCAATTCATCATATGATCAGTAGTCATACTTGGCATCAGTGCCAAATCTCTCCATAGCCTCCTTGTGCAAATTGAGCATGCCCATGAATTGCTCGTTTTCTTTGAACCTGGGCAATCACATAGAAACTGCATTGTTGGAACATGTACATCATACATCCAGCCATTCATTTTTGTGATGTGAGATGGACAATGTAATTCAATTGGGTGTTGATAAGCCATGCATCCAATCAGAACCATACTATAGCCATTCATGAGGATATCACTACAATACATAAGCAGTTTCCACACATGCAAGTATGAAACCATCAACAACACATGGATAACAGTTTGACCAAAGTCACTTATTGACCAAATAGCCCATGCGAACTGGCAATTTCATCTCAAGCGAGGCCACCAAGGCAACAGATCTAGATTTCCATGAGTAGCTGACCTTCTCAGTGTCACCCTTAGATCCTGATGCCCTTTCAGGCTTCTCAGTTGAACCAGGCACTGGAGGAGGTGGAGGAGGCAACACACCAGCCTTATGGTATGTTGCCTCATCAATCCTGGGCCTCTTCAACCCTTGACCTGGCTGAGCAGCCTTAGGTGGTGGTGGAGGGCAAGATGGAGGTCCCTCAACCAAATCATTGGAACCCCCATGGTGCCACCACTCCTGCCACTTCTCCAGCTTTGCCTCAGCTTCCTTGAGCTTGGTCTCAAGAGCCTGAGCCTTCAAAGACTCATGAGTCTGACCAAACTCCACTTTGAGTCTGGCAGCCTGCTCATTGTTCCATGGTGCCCAAACTGTCTCCATGTCAACATCCATGCAAGCCAATATGGCAACTTCATCCCATTCAGGGGAACCCTTGCCAATGTCCATGATGGGCTGAGTTGACACAAACCACAGCTTCAAAATGGGATCAAACCAAATGAACAAAGTGTGAGGACAGTTGTATGATGGATCATTGAGATCCACATCCTCAGTCTGAGAGCGGAAAACTGGCATCTGTTCCTTAATGCCAACCTTGTAGTACCTCCAACCTTAGATCATGACAATGTGACATAAGGACAAAATATATAGTATTGAAAATGTCAAGTCAGCATTCACATGCTATACCCCAACAAAACCACATCCCAAACACTGAAAACACATGATTATATTCATCAAAGACACTCATCAGCTGACAAATCAGGACTGCATCCACTGATAACAAGACTGCATGTGTTCTTGATGTTCAGGTTGGAAAGGTTGGTGCTGAATCGCTCACGAAGTGAACTCCTAAGGCTCTGAGCAGCTGCAAGGGTGCCTCTTGGGTCAGGAACATCAGGTGCAGACATGGCTTCAGATGAATGTCACCAGAAATGATGCCAAAGTATGAAGGAAAATGATTTTGACATATTTGCAGTGATCCTTGCTGCTGATTCACATCATGACATGCTTGGAACTGTTGTTCATGATAATCCAGTGATGCCCACAGATACTACAATGCATAATGCTGAAATGGCACAGAACATGTCTAAGATGTAACATCAAGAATGACATGAAGGCCAGGTAGCACAACATGCAACCAATAACATGTGGCAAGTCACACCTTGCCCATCACCAAGTCTCAAACAGCAGCATCACAGAAGATACATGATGTCTCCAACCATTGCACATCACATGGCATGAAGTGGGACATGTTCCAAGTTGATTCAGTGTGGGTGCCTGCAAACATAGTGGTCATCACAGCAGGAGTGTTAAAAATCTAAATGCAACCAGTGGAAGTTCATACACACAGAATGTATCACTGACAGCAACATCCTTGAGATTGGCCCAGTGGATGGCATGCATGGTATGTAGCAAGCATGCTGGTGGCCATGGTGTTGCCACTGTGGTTTGCAACTGGTGCAAATTACAATACATGGCATGCAAGGTGTCTAGCCATCAGGCTTGTTGTCATAGTGAAAACATTCTCTTTCACTAGTGGGCAATGCATGTCATACATGGTTTGTAGCCCAAAGGCTGGCACAAGGACCTGCAAACCTTCACACATACACATGATTCAGCTAATGGTTGTAATGCTACACTTTTGTAACACATCTGGCTGCTTGCATGCATGCAAGTGGGTTTGCCATGCTGTCAGGCACTGTCACAGAATGCATTTTCGAATTTTTCAAGCCAGTGGATAGCATGTCTCATATCCATGGACCCTACTCATCCTTATCAGCATGGCCAGCTGGCTTATCAGCAGTCTTGCTGTGCTTGCCAGTCCTAGAATAAGGTCTTTTGCCTTCTCCCTCAGTAGTGATCTTGACACCAGACTCCTGCATGTAGTAGAAGAACATGTTGACATTGTCATGGGTATAGTCAATCACCAAGTCATCTGTTGGCCTTGCACAACTTTTGATAGCCAGAATGGCGCCCTCATCATTCAACTGGATGTCCAAAGGCTGATCAGGGGACAGTTTGTCCTTAAGTTTTCTGGCTTTTTTGGCTGGTGGCTCACCAGCTTCTTCCTGCCCAAAGAGGGCATCATGAGGTGCAGCAAAGACCTTTGCATTCCTTTTCTCCACCAGAGCCCTGTAGCCCACAGAGTCTTTGATGGTAGGCCTTGCTTTGGGGTCTACCTTGTCAGTGCTAAGTAGATTGCACAAGCCAAAACAGCTAGCCCTCAACTGCAGCCAATGGCCACCACCTTCCTTCTCTTTGATCATGTTGTCTGGCAGCTTCCATTGTTTGGAGTTCATGGTGATACAATGCTGCACAGAAAGTTGGGCCATGGCAGCACTCAGGCTGATAAGTAGATATCATACTAAAGCTAAAAGCTGCTGAAGTATACATGCACACAAGGCCATATGCCCACAAGGTTGATGCAGGTTCAACACATGCAATTAATAACTTGGTGCCAGAAAAACATGACACTGGCAGTGAAAACCCTACAGCAACAATGCACAATATGGGATTGATTGACATGTGTTGGTCATGCAAGTAGGTCACAAGTTCCTTCCCACATCTAAGGCAGCACCCCATGTGTAATGGCAGCTTTGGATGGCATTTCTTTTGCAACCATGCAGGTCCTGGGTCAACATATTGAGTGCTGTGTACCAGCTTGCAGTGGCCATTTGAGAAATGATGGCACTTACCTGTTTGCAGCGATGGCTTGAAACTGAGTATAGAGGACTTGTAGCAACAACAACAAAGCACACATGTATCAGTTCCTGTGCAATACTAGTATCAACACCATATAATAAACCATTCCTTTACTGTTTGATTTTCTTTGCAGCTGGAGCTTTGCCAGAAGCTTCCCTTTTGGCACTCTTACCCTTGCCCTTGCTACTGTGAGCAGCACTAGGATCCACTACTGAGAGCATAGTCTTGGCAGGCAGCTGCTTGGGGTTGGAGAGAACCTGAACCTTCAAGCCCTTGACATCCTTCATCTCAAATGCCATGTTGGAATCCTCCTTGACCATGGTGCCACATGCCACCCAAAAGGGAACAACCAAACCAGTGCATGTCCCATCAACACATTTCCAAGGCTTGGGTGGCAAGATGTACCACTCAGTGCCCCCATAGGAGACCTTTGCAAACTTGGACAGCTGGCCAGGCGACTTCAAGACAATCTTGTCAACCTTGTCAGTCATGGGGACCATAGTCAAATCATGTTGTTTGGCCTGGCCATCAGTGTAGATCCTCTTGACAGGGTCCTCCTGGATCAACACTTTCTTGTGGTAGGACTTGCACATGCTAAACAACACACCATAGATGTAAGCCCTGTCATTTTCCTCTCTGCAAACCAAAGTAGGGGTCAACTTTGCTGCATCATCAGCAATTAATGCAGGTGCCTTCCCCTTTGAGGGTTTGAGTTCCTTTGTGACCTTGATATCCTGCACTGTGATTGTTTTTTTTGTATTTTCAAAGAGCTCCTGTGCCTCCAAAACAAGGTGGTCTGCATTGATTTCTTTCAGTAGGAAAATGTGTGGCAAGTCCTTGTGGTTGTAAAAGTTTCCTATTTTGAGTTCTATGCTTTGCATTGCCAAAAACATTGGGTTTTTTGCTTGCTGGAGATCCACTGCCTTGCTTGACTGGCTGGGTTGGCTTGCTTGGCTTGTCACTAGCAACTGCGCTGTGGGTGTGGATGAAGCAAGCTCATTGTCATAAGCACCCTTGATGCTTTCAATGTCCTTGTATTCTTTGTTTTCTCTGCCCATTTTCCATTTGCCAGTAAGCAAAAGGATTGCCCTGATGCAGCACTTACCAAAAGCCTTGTAGTAGATGTGCTTCTTCTCTTGTGGGGCTGCAAACACCTCCCCCCACTTAGATTGCAGCAAGCTCTCAGCATCTTGAACTTGTTGCCTAAGCTTTGTTCCCTTGCACCTCTCTACATCACTTTTGGTGAGCAGCCTAGCAAAGCCATCAACACACCTAGCTTTGCCACAGGTCAGGTTGGTCACAATGAGGCCACATCGCAGGAATGGGAACAGGTCCACATTGTTGATCACCATGTCAACAACAGAGGAAAAGAATTCTATTCCAAGGACAGCATTCTCTCCAAACTCTTTGCTGAAGACATTCAGGAAATCAAGTAGCTGGCCATTACCTTGGTATCATCATGTGACAAGTTGATAAGCTAGGTGCACCACAGTCAAACAAAAATACATTCATAAAAAACACAATGCAAAAAATTCAACCCAAGTGCCAGAGTAGAGCTTGACAAACTTCCCAATTGTTTTGGCATAATCTTGGACATTGCCCCCTGTACAACAATGCATGGACACCTCATCCCAGTTCACTTCCTTTTGGGGGTTGCTTGATACAGCATCCCAAATTGAAGATGCCAATTCCATTTCTGATTGGGAGGCAAAGATTGAGTTGGGGCAGTTGAGGGCATGCTGGGTGAGTTCTGGAAGCTGTGGAAATTGTGCTTCCACAGTGTGTGGCAGCACTAGCCACTCCCACCCAGCTTCAACCATAGTTTTCAAGTCCCTGTCAGACTGCCACACATGTGCTCCAAGCTTGCCATTAGTGCCTGCCAAATCTTCTTCACAGGTTGGGCACCCATGCACAAGGGCCTTCACAAATTGGCATGTATGCCCACTGCTGAGAGATGCATACCTCTCAGTGCCCAGCAAAGGGGACAGCAAAGGTGTGGAAGCAACCAGCTTCTCAAAAGGATCTATTTGTTTTTGCCTTTCAGCCATATTGGGGCTCAGCTCTATGCAAACACTGTTCCCCAACAAGCTGATGTCAGCACCAGCTTTCATGATCTGCAAGCCTTTGCGGTGACAACCATGTGGGCTAATGAGGGCACCACTTCGGTTCTTGGGGTGAACAACAAAAGCTGTTGCCTTTGCAGTAGCCACATAGGCAACCCCACACTCCAACAGCATGTCCTTGATGGATTTCCACTTCTGCAAGGGCCCCAAATCAGAAGCCATGATCTTGGTGATGTGATCAACTGCCTTTGGAGGAATGGCCATGTGTGGCCAGCCACTCACTCACACAGACTCTCTGGATTGTATTTTGAACCAGTGTACTGCAATGCAGTGAGAGCATGCACATGTTCATTTTCATAATTCTGGTGTCAACAGTACATGCAAGGCAAGCATCAAAGTGTGAATTGTGTGGCAAGCAATTTTGCAAGTTTATGTCACCTGAACAAGTTTGACATCAGGGGCATGTGTCCAGCCAATAGGCTTTCACAACAAACAATATTATAAGTCATGACAAGTCTGCCAAGATCATGCCCTCAAGCTTGGGTGATTTTTACACATGGAAGACAAGTGTGACATGCAAACAAACCAATCACTGTGTAGCCACAAGGCTGTTCAACAAAGGCCACATGCAAGCAAATCAACCACATGCAATGTGTAGCCACAAGGCTTTGGCACACACACACACAACAGCACATCATGCAATGTCATTCACATGCATTGAAGCCAGCCAGCTTCAACTATGCACACAGGGTGGCATGGTATATTTGCATCAGCTGGCTTGCACATGGTTTTTCTTGATTCCAAAGCTAAAAATAACACACCATTCCATTAATGCTTTTCATATACCCACAAACCATGCCAAGCCAGAACAATTTTTAAGTAGCACATTTTCAAGGTGCAGCTAACTGTTTTTTGTCCCTTGCCAGCTGTGCCAGTAACAAGAAGCACACGTGAAATGTGTAGCCAAACAAACATGCAACATGATGAATTGCAGCTTTCAAGGATGTCACTTGCCACCCATGTTATGTGACCTATACATGCCATGTCAAGCCAATGTTTCACCCAAAATCCAAAATAACATGTTGAAATCCCAGCACTGACAAAATATTAGTTGAAAAAAAAAACTAACATTGACCCAACTGAAAGCCAAAATGGAACACCAAATTATGAAATTTCTGATTTCAGAACAAAGTTGAAAGTGGTTTTAACCAAAAATAATTCTTGAAAAAACAAGGTCACCACTTTGAAATTTACCACTTAGCTAGGCAGTTAGCCAACTTAGCTAACCACTTAGCTAAGTGGCTAAGTGGTTGGCTAAGTGGTAAGCTAGAGGGGCTAAGCTTCATGTTAAATACTTACTAAGTGAGGGAATTTTGCTTATAACTTTTGTTTTGTTTAGGGGGTTTAGCCTAAACCTTTAGTAACCAGGGTAAAATATATAAGGGCTATAGAAGTTAGAAATGATTGGCAGCTGTTGTAAACCTTTGCAAGCTACTTATAAATTACTCTAACCTAGTTGTAAATAGCTTACAATGTGGTTATCCATTGCATAAAGGTTAGCAAACCCGCGGGCCATCCAAGTAGAAACCACTGCACCGGTGAGAAACCATGCTTTCTAAGTTGTTCATTTCTAATAGAGGCACATGCTTCAATGGTCTCTTCTGGCGTGGCATTGGTGCCGGAAAGCCAAACTCGCTGGGCCATACCACGGAGAATCCTATTGACTACTTCAACTTTTCCCAGTTGCCAATGAGACTCTGCGGCGGCATACAACAGTTGGATGTTGTTTCTCACTAGATATCTTTGCCATTCGGATGACATTGCTCTGTGGTCAGGATCCATGAAAACTGTTTTTGGAACCCCATATGGACGTCCCCATACCTGGTGGAAGGCTTTGGAAAGTGCATGCTTTTCTCGGGGAACTACTATCTGTTGGCAGAAATCAGTGGCTAAGTCAACAACTGTGAGAACATTTCTAACCACTTCTTCAACGGTTCCATCCCGGCTTTCTCTTTTGAGTTCTACCTGAACAAAGTCAATCGCAACAACCTGATTGGGAGTCTCTGCATGTGGCATGGCTGCTTTGCGATGGAGAGCTGGTCGTTTGAGCTCTTCGCAAATTGGACAGGTAAACTCCTTAATTGCTTGCATGATGGCTTTGGACGACTGGCACCGAAACGCAAGTCTCTGGAGCTGCTCTTTGGACGAATGACCAGTGTTGACATGAACTTTTCGCACTAAAGCTCTTGCTCGATCAAGTTCACTTTTACCTTGATCAACATGTACTACAGGCTGATCAAGTTGTTCAAGTTCATCCTCTTCTTCGGCTAAAATCTCTTCGGCACTTTTGATAGGCTTTGCATAGGAAACATGGGGCAACATCAGGTTTACCATGGTTCTGCAAAACTTTCGTGGATAGCTTTCAGCCCAACTGGTCAAGTTTTTACCTTTATAGCTTCCAGACAAATGCTCATGCTGATGTTTGCCGTCACACCGACACGTTAAAAGTCCTTGTGCAAGTGATTCTTGCGTTGTCACAATTCTGGTCGGCTTAAGGATCGGCACATCACTTTTCGGTGATCTAAGTCCCAAGGCACATTGATCTACTCTGACGTCCCAGCACCTACCCAAGTTTAACTCGGCCCATGCCTGAGATGCCAAGGGATTTTCACAGTGCGCATGACCACCAAGGTTCCTTTGGAGATGCCAACATTCTGACACACAGTGCAAGTACCTAAGAGCTATCTTTCGTTGTCGGAGGATTTCATCTCGAATCTTAGGATCCCTACTCATGTTGACATGTGTCCATGGACTCCAACATGTACATGGAAAACTGAACCAAAGGTGATCTGGACGGGAGTATGCAATCAGCTGCAAAAGGCACTGTCGATCATGCAAACGTGTGAAGTCCTGGCCATATGCTTTGCCTAATCTGATGCTGACTTTTTGGGATCGGTCTTCAAAGGTCTTGGACAAATTGGCTTGTCCTGTGAATACCTCGATCAAACCAACGTTCTGATCAAGCTTATAGGCCTGGTCTCCTAACCACGACTGCAAATCGGCACGAACTCCGGATGGATCGGATGCTAAACGTGATAGGGTCATGCGGCTGCTGGCTTTACGCAAGGACTGGATACTTTTCCTAAGCATCTTTTGTGTTTTTCTTGGCAAAGGTTCTTGCTTATCCAAATCAACCCAATCAGTATCTTCATATAAAACTTCAACAGGAATATCCAGGTCAGGCTGTTGGGTCGACCGTGAGTCCTCTTGGCTGCAGCAAAAGCATGTTGGACCCTGATCTGCACAATCGCTGGCACTTTGGCTGGTCTGCTCGGGCAGACAGAAGGCAAAAATGGCTACGTCCATTGGATTCACTGGGCATCTTTCGTCGCTGGCAGGTCTGGTCCTCCAGGGCGACACGGCAAAGACACCATTCTTATTCAAGGAAGCCACTGATACCTGAAACTCAGTAAGGCCAGCTGTTGATGGGATTCTTTCTTTCTTTGGGTGATAAGCCACGGCTGCAAAGTTAATCCCCTTATTATCCCCACCAAAGATGTTATTGAGTTCCTTATCAAACTTACTTAAATCAACTTGACCATTTTTGGTGTTCTTCACGATTGTTTGAAAGGCTCGTCTCTTGTCGGCTTCAGTTATCTTTGGGGACTTTTTGGAATTACTTTTGGGAACATGTTCTACCCTCTCATGAGTGTCATGCATGTTGGCTTCAACCCTATCCTCTGTTGGCTGGAAGGCTGCCACAGGTTGCATGATTGGACTGCACATCAACTGCGTTATTGGGCTCATTATATTCTTCCTCACATTGTGCTATCTCCAGTTCATCAGGCTGTGGGCAGATCGGCAAAAGCAAATGTCCATTGGAGGCCTGTCGAAGCTTCTGCGCATGCATGCCATGCTTGGCACTGGTGATTGTCATTGCACCAAGGTCGATGACAGCATTCAGACCCTCCAGAACACGGCGGGATAGCAAAAAGGGCGTCGCTCCAGCAATCACATATGTTGTCACGTTTCCATGAAGGTTTCCAATCTTCACTGTCCATCTCAAACCAGATGTAGTTGTTTCAGTATTGCCGTTAAAACCCTTCAGTTCCACTGGGGGTAATTCAACAGACACTGGCGGTGGGAAACCACATGATTGAAAATACTTGGTGTACCTTTGAACAGTGTCGGAACCAACGACTGATGTAGTGCACCCTGTATCCAAAATGGCTGTACCCAATGGAATTGACGCCAGGAAAATCTCATTCACATCACCTGGAGAGCTCTCGGAAACCATGTATGTAAACTGTGCAGTGACAACTGATTCTGCCAGATTAGCATCTTCCCTTTTGGGATTTGTCTTGTGAGGCTTTTGATCATTTTTCTTTCGCATGGAATCCTTTCGATCATACTTGAAGGTCTTAGGCTGGATTGGCTGTGAACCTTGTGAACCAGAAGCAGCTTGATCTGGGGGCATAGCAACCACTGGATAATATGATGAAGGACCCATCCTACTCTTTTTGATCTCTTTCACTTTTCTTTTCGATTCTTTGTATGTTTTCACATTCTTCTTGAAATCTCGTTTTGCACGTTTTTGGATCTCATAGATCTCAGCCAGTTCATCTTGTTCTGAACCTTCATCGGACTGAGAACTGACTGCTTCAGCTGCATGAACTTCTTCAGGATCTGAGTCACTCATGGGCAATTCAAGTGATGAGCTGTCGCCATCTATCTCTTGAACAGCGTATGTGTCACGTCGTTGTGGCCTGGATGGCACCTTCGACAGACGTGGATCAAGTCTGTGATTGTCCTCTATGTCCGATGCGCGCAAAATGCGCTCCACATCCAGAAAACGTGATGAACCACCGGTTGATCGAATCACCAAACTTCGCTGCTCTCGGTTCAATCCAAACTTACGCATGAACAAATGACCAAGAACAGATTGAGGAAATATTGGCTTCGGCTTTCGATACCCAGGTTCCAGTGTGCCCAGGACTCTCTGCATTTCTCGCTGAGCTGCTTCTTGTTCCAACTTGTGAGTCGCTTCATGCTGTCTCTTGGAGGATCTACTTGCTTGGCTAGCAGGCCTAGACGGATGCTTTGGCTCAGCTTTCGGGGCTGCAGCAGAAGGCTGACCAGGATCAGACCGAGGACCTGAGGCTTGTCCAGGATCAGACCGAGGTCCTTTGGGAGATTCAAAGGCATGTGCATGTTCCTCTGGCTGAGGAGGCTGTGAGGCTAAATCAGGATCAGTTTGATCGGCC